GGCGGCGACCTGCGGGCCGTGCTCGTCACCGAGCCCCTCCGGCCCGCCCTCGCGGGCCCCGGTGCCGAGTTTGTTGTCGACTCCGAGGGTCAATACCAGGCCTCCCTGCGCTGGATCTCGAGGAGGACAGAAGCCTTAATGAAACACTTGCAGAGCAACAACGTTAAACTGTTGCTGTCGAGCGTGAAGCAAGAGGAAGTGGTTATCTACTATGCAAAATTACACGGCGTATCTGTGGTAGAGTGCTTGTCGTCGGAAGAAATGGCCCTTATCTGTGAAATCACAGGAGTCTCGCCTTATGCACCTTTTGGTGATGACATGCACAGAGAAATCACTGAAACCGCAGTGGCAACGTTTTGCCAGCCCTTGCTGCTCGGCTCAAAGAGATGTGTTCACGTTGGCTTCACCAGCGTGTGTGCCTTTCAGCCCCATTGCCTAATTCTTTGTGGGCCGGTCGATGCTGTTAATGAGCAACATGCTGCTGCTTTACAAGGGGCGTTTACAATGCTGCAGCAGCTATTTAAAAGAGTTGATCAGAGGGAGGAATGGAAAGCAGAAGGTGAGAGCCAGAATGAAGCCGCAGGTGTTTGTGGCTGGCATTCTTCAGCTACTCAGAAGCAAATCATAACAGAAAATATTTTTTGTAAGAGTAATCAGGTTTCTGAACAACAATTGAAAACACGCAGGGAGGAAATAGAGATGCAAATTGTAGACGCTGACTTGCAGGGAAGTGAAAATCCAGCACGTGTGCAAACAAACTTGCAAATACCCTCAAATCCCATCTTGCACATCAAAGAATTCGACGTTGCCGCTGAAGGAGATGGCCCTTCGAGAGACGTACAGAAACTGCATGCAAAATGCAAGCATCTGGGTGACGTGCACGAGAACTATAAAAGTGATTTACTTGTGGACAATCAAAAGAATTACAGCACTGCTGTATCAGCAGCACATAATGCTGATACAGTCACTGCATGTGAACGCCTAGATGTTGGCAAACATGTAGAGAAAACAAGTTGCAGTATAGTTCCATTTAAACGTGAAAAGAGTTGTGTAAGTATTGCACAGAATTATTCCAACTCCCTCATAGAAGCAGGATCAGTTTTGCCAGTAGGAGGTTACTTTGAAATCTTGTTACATTATTATATTCGGTACTATGCAAAACAGTTTCAGCAGTCGCAGGTAACTGTCATATCTAATGTAGTTGCTGATGCTTTGCTAAGTATTCCCAAGTCCTTATACAGGACAACAGAACAAAACAGCTTTACAAAGTTCTATCTCAAAGCCATAAATGCACTCAAAAAAAATGAGCCACTGCCTGTGAATGAGAAGGGCTTAGAATCGGTGTATTGCAAATACCAGTTAGTCATTTCAGTTCTTCGTTGTGTTACAGAGCTGCTCTCCATAGATTTAATAATTGGTGTTAAGCGGCCACTGCAAAAAATTGAGGATAATGACTCAGAAGATGACTTCTGAAATCATTAATAAAGGATGTTTTGATTATGTGTTTTCCTGTGTCTTCTTGTCAAATGGACATGTCTCAAAATTAAGTGCTAGAGACTAAAAGATACCTTTTTAGGCCCAGAGACCTAACGTGCTTCTTTCCTCTTAGAAGAAAAGGAAGAAAAAGACTGACCAGCTGAGATTTGTGGAAAACTGGGTTATGAACAGCACAAACTTGAAGTTTCAAACATGAGAAAGTGTAGCTGATTTCCACTGCAGAAGATCCACAATGCCTTTTCCATCCACATGCAGAGGATCCTGTGTACATTCTAGCCAAGGGTGAACTTTTTTTGGAGGTTTGAGTATTTATGCAAGTTAGATGTGATTAGTTTTGCTGACACGTTAAAAGTTGCCAGTCTGACATGAGCCACTGACCTTGCAAGTTGTAAGCAAGGGGTTTTTTTAGCCTTCATAATAGGCTGGATTGAATGTTACTTTAAATAAAAATATTTTTGTATATATTGTGGTTTTGAATATAATGGAAAATATACAACTGTTGTTAGCCTGTTTGGCAGGCAGTGGTAGGCCGCTGCAGTACATCCCAATGAAGAATTTTCTCGTCTGGTAGGAGATGCAGCATTTTGTCTTCCATTGAGTTCGCTTCAGTCAAACTAGTAGAATTAAGAATAATTTCATATCGTGACTGTCTGGCATGTGCTCTGGCAAATTAGTAATGTGACATTACTTAGTACAACTAGTAATTTTAACTATCCTGGGTTGAGTTGTGGTGCTACTATAAAAGGCTGTGTAATCATGGGAAAAGTTTACACAGGCAATAATGCAGTTTTGTGTGAAAAACCTGAGACAACGTTTCAGTTCAGACTTCGATCATTTGGGATTTTATTCTGAGGGTTTTTTGTTTGTTTATTTGTTTTTTTATTCTTTTTTTCCCCACAGGATTTTCATCCTAATATGATTTGCTTTAAGCTCAGTATCACCTAGATGTCAATATACCTCCTTTTCTGCTGTGTCTTAAAAACTTCTGGTTTGGTGTGGGAGGTTTTGGGTAACTGAACAGCTGCAGCTGATAACGGTATCACATTGGTTCTCTGTGTGCCATTGCCAGTATTGCGAAATACTTAGAATAACTGTGGTTTTTTTTAATCTGCTATTAAATAAAATTTAGTGAGGGTATTTAAAATCAGAGGCACAAATCATACTTATCTGCTGACATGATTACAACTGGAAATCAGATTTTTTTTTCCCATTAATTTATGTGGTTGCTTTCCCTTTTTCAGTTTCTTTGGAAGAGTCTACCAAAGCTGTTTCAGGTGTTTTGGCAGCAATGCTCTGTTTGACTACAACTTTCTGTTGAAAGTTTATATATATTCTTGGTAATATAAAATACTGAAATAATTTTTTTTTCCTGACTAATACACTGTTACAGACATCTGCATATGAAAAACAGTGAAACTCGGTGTTCACTAGAGTGATTTCTTTAATGAAGGACTAGGGACAGTAATTCTTTTGTTTTAGAATCATTGTTGGTGGGTGCAAAGGTGGGGGAGAATTAAACACAGAGGAGAGGAAAGAAAATCACATTCTGCCCGTTACCGCATGCTTTTGGCAGTTGCTTAATGTGACAGGTCCAGTAAGAGCAAAGAGAAATCTCTGTTGTGGAAGAGCTGGTGTTTCGGAGCTGCAAGTCCTGCTTGCCCGGACAGCCTCGGGGCCGCTCGGGAGCTTCCATCAGCCCTGGCGCTTCAGCAGGCACTTGGGTTCTGTATTTTAACTTTGTAATGAGCCGCCGAGACAGTTTTGCTCTTGCACAAGTTTCTGCATACTCTGTTCAAACTGCTGACCAGCTTGCTGGCCAAAGATTAATGATTTGCTTCGTGGTAGTCTAACTGTGGCGCAGAGTGCGTGAAGCCTGGCAGCAGTGGGGGTTGTCTGCAGAAGCTGCTTTTGTATTCTGAAGCTAGGTGTCCCCTAAATACAGGTAAAATAAAGAGAATACTGTATCATTTCATGTTATTTTATACCATTTGCACATCTGCACACTCAGATTTACTGCAGCTCCTTGAAAAAGGTTAAAACAAAAATAGTTTGTTATGTGAATGGCCTTCTGGCTGTTTGATTTAAATTCTGTCATCACTGAGAAGAAATTCCAAAAATTTTATGATACACAAAACTCTTATTTTGGTATGCCAGAGATACAAGGGAGAATTTAAAAATTACAATTACATAAAGCTTTTTTTTGACCTGTTTCTGGTGAAACCTCCTGAGTCTGAAGGCTCATTGAGTCAGGTGCTGTATTTCATTGACTTCTCTGTCCTGTTATATTTTGTGAATGATCAGCTTTCCCTTTTGAACTACCGATTCCCTGTTTTGTGTGGAGAGCTGAGAACATGGCACCCCTTTCCCTTGGAGAGGAATGTCCGTTGTCTGTCCTGGACTGCTGGGGTGATGCTTGTTCAGGACATGGCTGTTTGATTTCCAGTCCTGGAGTCTAAGCGCATTACAAGATGTGCACTGGCTCAAGGAAAAAAAAGGCATTAACTTAGTCTTTGGGGAGAAGAGCAAATTTACTTTTGGTTTTAGCTCTTTCTTATCTTTAGAAGTCTTCTCCAGTAATTAGCCTGGAAGTGTAATCATGACCTAATCTTAGAAAATACTTTGGGATCACTGCTGTCCGATCTACTCTTTAAGAGAAAGGCTGTTTGTAGCCCTGAGAAGCGGCGGCAGTCTGCCTTCCGGGCTGCGGCTCGGGCGCTGTCGGTGCCCTTTCTCCTCTGCTGATGTTTCTGACCCGATTGCAGAGGCTGTGCTTACCCAGTCACCTTACTGGGGCTGTTACTGCTCGTTGGTACCCAAGCCTTAGGTACGCAATGTTTCATGACGTCCTGTAGCTATCCCAAATTTTAAAGCTATATATAAACGTTGCTTGCCCTTTGACAGGTGGCCTGGGGACGGTTCTAAGGGCGATCTCTTGACATAGTGGCAGGGACAAAGGGGTTACCTGGGGCAGCTTGGAAGAATACGTTTACTCAGCCAAAACCACAAGGAGCAGTATGTTTGGGCATGCACTAAGGTTGTAAAAGCCTATGGGTTTTTCTTCTTGCACTGTTTCCCAGAGATTATTTCTATTTTGTGCTATTATTCTATTATTTTTATATTTCTAAATATGGATTGGCCTCCACACAAAGTGAAAGTCAAGTGCACATGGGCATGTGTGTGGACTCGGGTCCAAACTTGAAATATGATGTAAAGTACAGGGATACTGGTGGTAATAGCCTAAAATTAAAAGAATGGTTTTAGAAAAATCTCGGTGTTTAACTCTCCTTTCTGCAGCCCTTAGCAAACCTATATTCTACCTCACGTGAAATTCATCAGAATATTTTCAAGGTGCTCACTCCAGCCACAAGGAGTGTAGGTGTATTTTAAGCAAGGTAATCCCGTTTGTCAGGTAGCAGATTCACGTATACAGGCAGGTAGTTTATTTTTTTTAATTTAAAAAAACCCTAGGTTTTAAGACACATGTATAATAATGTATTGTGAGACTAGATTGAAGCTGCATCCTGCACACAGCTCTTGAGAATGGGAATAATCTATTTACATGACAAGGACACGTGTTTTTGTTTGTTGATTTGGGCGGGGGTCGAGTCTCAGCAGACTTTTGCCTGTGCTGGGACCGCACCAAGACAGCCTCCGCTCCCCAGCGTTCCTCCGGCTGCCTTTCCCCATTGCCTCATCCTGGCGGCTCAGCACCTTCCTCGGGCCCTTCTCATTGATCTCCGGTGACATCAGCTCCCCCTTTACCAAATGGGTATTGCTTAACTTCTTCAGTGGAAGTTATGCAACCTAAATATGGCCTTATATTTTCATCCATGCTTAGCTGGTTACTGACCTTTAGCCTTTTTGGCAGCTATACAGAGAGTATCGCTAATAGGAACCAGTAGCAACAAAGAACATTATTCTGTTGTGTCACAAATCACACATGACTGAATCGCATTTGCAAGAGCGAGTCGGGGAATGCAATATTTTGTTTAGGAGCATAACTGTATAGTGGCATAACTCTAGTAATTTTATATTGTTTCTATTGTTATCTTTGTAACAGTCATCTTCCAGAGTCCACAGGTAGGTGATTAATCATACCACGTGAGAAGATTAAGGAAGATTAAATTCTTCACTTGCATATATCTCCTGGACTTCACTAGAATTGCGTTCATCTGAGCCTGTACCTAATTTGCTTTTTGTTATGTAACAAATGTGCTATTAGCAGTACAGACTTCCATTTTTGATTACTAAATTTATTTCTATGCTTGTTTAGGTTAACCTGTCCACTTGTGTCTTTTTTGGCAAGGTTCTTTTAAATCTCATGTTAAGAGAGAAACTATTTCAGTGTTCAGTTGCAAAAATCTCGTTAGTTTAATTATCTTGAAATCTTAAGAAACTTTTTTTTGTCACCAGTAAAACCAACGATTAAATACTTGCTTTATTTACTATGCTATTTATCGCATTATTATTATTAAGACTGAACAAATCAAGAGAGTAATGTCTGAATTTATAAACAGTAACTTTGGAAATTCGTTGGCTGTAATTAACACAATTATAATTTTGCAGTAGCATTTTGTGTAAGGCGTCATTTGTATTCTGTAATCATAGAATAGAATTATAGAATCGTTTAGGTTGGAAAAGACCTTTAAGATCATCAATCTGAACCATTAACCTAGCACTGCCAAGTCCACCACTAAACCATGTCCCTAAACGCCTCATCTACACGTCATTTAAATACTTCCAGGGATGGTGACTCCCCCGCTGCCCTGGGCAGCCTGTTCCAAGGCTTGACAACCCTTTCAGTGAAGAAATTTTTCCTAATGTCCAATCTAAACCCCCCCTGGCGCAACTTGAGGCCATTTTCTCTCGTCCTATCGCTAGTTACTTGGGAGAAGAGACCGACACCCGCCTGGCTACAACCTCCTTTCAGGTAGTTGTAGAGAGTGATAGATGTTTGAATCTAGGATTATACAAAT